ACCGTTATTAGTTAAATAACCTATATTAGAGTGTTACATACCTGGAAATTCATTCTAGTTATACCATTTCACTTTTCACAGACGATTCTACATTCAATATTTATCAAACGAAAAACACACATAATCCATTAACATATATGCATAAATACTTATGTTTTTAACTCTCCCGAAATACCACTTAAAGACACAAATAAATATCCTTTCAATCCCACCACAAGAAAGACGACCGTATCCAATGACTTTAAACATAAATCTGAATGAACTTTATTCAAGAACTTTTTATAGTAATTATTCTACTGTTCATAAATACTTCGTTAAGTGAGTAGATGGTCAGCTTGATCTTAAATTTTGACTGCGGATTCTTGGGTACAACACGGGGAAAATGAAAAGAAAACTATTACAAAATTAAATAAAATTCATTAAAATGTCATAATTTAAAGATTCGTTTTTAATATTTAAGGTGTATTTTAAGTTAGCGAAAGTCCAAATAACTGTCCATTCCTAGGAAATAATGGGCGTCGGTCTTACGGGCCTCCGCTCCATTATTTCCCAGGAATGGACAGTTATTTGGACTTTCTCTATAACTTAATTGATATATAAAGATGATAAACATAACGTACATATGTTTTGTTCTCTTTGACTACATACATTTTCATCCGATTTACAGAAAAGTATGCAGACTTATTTTCAGATTCAACCTTTGGTAAATACCAATATGACACAAAAGTTTATTAGTCTGATTTTTGCATGCTTCACACTAACATAGATCACCGCCGTAGAAGAAGACGTAGAATTGTGTTATCGAGGCTCGACGAATATTCAATTTGTTTGAAATCTTTTATTTCAATGCTTCAAAATGTGGTTAGTACTTGTATTAAACAATGTTCTATTTTCTATTAAATTACAGTGCCAAACAAGCCCAAAAATCCAGCTCTGCTTTTTAAGATTTGGCGTTATAAATTGTTTTTTTGAATCTGTAATATTTATAATCTATTTTTTTTAGATTGCATGTCAGTATTCACTAAAAACCAGTAAAAGTCTGAAATGACCTATCCTCGACTGTACTGATTTTTACTTGACCAGTCTGAATTGGTCTGAAATTTACTTGATAATACTCGACTGTAGTCTGAACCATACTTAACAGTCTGAACTTAATACTTCACAACAATTTTATTAATTTCTTTAATTTTGTATCCCTTTTTGAAATTATAATAATATATATATTTTTAATATAAGGTTAAACAGTTTCAGTGATTTTGTTGGCTGCTGTTACCTCATTAAAAAGATAAGTATATAACTATTTTATGTAACCATGAAACCAATGTAGTTTTTATTTAGGAATTTAAGAAATTAAATTAAGTTTTAAAAAAAACACACATGCCAAACAAGAAGCACCTTAATAAGGTTTATTACCCTCAGTATAGGTGTGGTTTTTACGTAAAATGTTTTTTTTAAACAAAACTCCTAAACTTTAAAATCAATATACTAGTAGTAATAAGATTATTATATAAGATAATTTGATTTAACTATCCCTATTTAATAAATCTAAGAACCGTGCAAGGATGTAAAAATCTGTTTTACATATATCTTTATTTTATTGTGGCTTTTGTAATGTCAGTTAAAAAGAAATTTATTTTAACAGTTAGAATAAAAAAAAAGTAGAGGTTATTTGGTCAAGTATGGTTCAGACTGGTCGAGTATTGTTTAGACCTTTGGTCGAGTATGGTTTAGACTGAAAAAATAGGTCGAGTACAGGTCGAGAATGGGTTAAAACTGTGTCAGACTGGTCGAGTAATAGTTCAGACTATTTTCAATGGCAAAAATAAGGGTTAAGTACAAATCAGTACAGTCGAGTATGGTTAAGACTGGGGTCTATGAATGTCGAGTAAAATTCTGACCAATTCAGACTGGCCGAGTAAAAATCAGTACAGTCGAGTACAGATATAGGCCATTTCAGACTTTTACTGGTTTGTAGTGATTGTTGTGAGAATTGTTTGTACGCCTGATTCTTTAATGACATGCTCCATACTTTGAAGATTGGAAATAAATTGTCAAATAAAAATATGAATGGACCGAACATTAACTAAAGACAATTTTCATCACGTTCTTACTAGTATGATTTTTAATTTGTTTTGCAATAAACTATGATTCATTATAATACAGTGGCAAGTTTGTACTAAAGGGCTACAAATGGTGCCCATATTTAAATCTACATCATATCGACACAGTTTATAAACAAAACGTACATGAATGTTGTAAAACAGACTTTAGTCATTTAAACACAGTTCCAGAAAGTATGTATAGAAAAGTTTTGTTTTATTACAGACGATATCCTTTTAAAAAGAAAACAAAACGTTTTAAATTTCATGCATCAGAAATTACATGCATTTTCATTAGGAACGGTCAAAGCCAAATATTTGAAACTAAAGAATGTATAAAAAAACTGGGGAGCTACATGTTTATAACCAAAAAAGATCTTAGAAAATAGCCACATCCGTCTAGGTCAAATTTGCTGAGGTTTTCGAAACCTCTTTATAAATTCAAAACTTATAAACGGACAATTTTGGAAAGATTTGTTTAAATTATGGTAGATACAAAAGATTATATTACCGAGCTGATAATATTTATAATGTGGTGCTGGAATTATATTTCACAAAGAACCATTTAATAAAATAAAATCAACGGATGTTTAATAAAATTGTGTGGAAGTGTACTGCAAAGTGTCGAAATGTCATAACTGTCAACTGAATTAACAGGACCACCGAAAGAACGTAAATCCAAAGAGTTTTTTGACACTCTAAAGATAACTAATTTCCTTATTGTCTATGTTTTTTACAAAAGTTTTTATATTTTAGTATGGTAACAACTAATAGCTAAAAGCTAAGACAGATTCGTTATAGGAAATTTACTTGAAACAGAAGAAGCAATAGTTAAAAAGGTTTTTTTTGTAATTTAGGCAACCAATACATAGAAGGGACCTTCAAATGTTCAGAAGATGCCTCAATTTGACACGTGATAGTCTCATAATTATTCAACATGTGACTCTCTGTTGAGTGCGTTGCCTTAAATATACTTTAAGAACCTTTTAATATTTATTATGTTTATGTCATACCCCCACCATATTGTTAACTGCGTTGTTGGCCGGTACACACACAAAACACTTTGCACAAACTAGTTTAACTCCTCGTGATTTTTTAAAGCTTGAACCAAGTCTGTTTTTCAATTGTATTTTATGCTTTATTTTTTAGTTAATAGTTAAACATTATCAGAGACAACAGTCGTTTTCCGTATCTTAAATGAGTGTTTATCGATGTGCAAATTACACAAATCTTTTAAGAAAATACAAATCAATCTTCAAAAACAGAAATATTATAAAGTATATCAATTGTCGTCCCTATAAACTATTATATACTGTTCTTTGATAGAAAAATAAAAGAACAGGATATTTGTAGTTAACTAGATGTGTCGGAACGACACGAATGGCCCCGTCTCAAAAAGTTGAAAAATTTGCAATTTCAACAACAAATGTGGACACAAACATGCATGGATAGTAACCAGCTCTCCAATCCAGAACTAGTTCAAGTTAATGAAAAATTTCTTTGATCAATGAGTAGTTAGATTTCAAACGATCAGCAAACAGGAAGTGGATGTACTGCAGATCTAACAAGATGTGTTGAAACAACATTAAAGTCAGCATAGCGGAACGAAACATTAACTTGATCTATAACTCATCATGGTAGACTCCCTTTTAAAAAAAACCAGCGCAAAATCTGAAGGCGTGTATAAAAAAGTTCGTATATAACTGTAATTTTCAACAATTTATCAAAGTCTAAAGTCCGTATTTTCGGCAAAAGTTTGCAATGCAAAACGAAACTTAAACTTGATCTGTAACTCATCATGGTTAACTCACATACCAAAAATCATCCCAATATCTGAAGGCATTCAGAAAAAAATTCTGTATAACTAAGATTGTCAACAATTTATCAAAGTCCAAACTTTGTTGAGGGCCATAAAAATTTCTTTACCAAGTTTATATATTAGTGCAATGATAATGTTGATAATGTTTCCTGTTGCTCAGATAATAACCTGCTTCGCTTAGTTTAATATCGTGTGTCATAGTAGCCGCTGGATTTCGTCCATTCTTTGGTAAATCACTTTCGTCAAACTTTTTGGGTTGTATGATACGGAATCATTACATTTGATTATCAAATTCATACTGTTGAGATGCAGCAGGTAGGCAACTTTTAAATCTGCCGTGTAGTCACTTCCTGTTTGTCGATAATTTTCTACAAAAGGAAATAATTCTTTATTTGGTATGCAGCTTCATATTGAGTAGTCGAAGCAAATAAGCAATTTTTATATCTGTCGGTAATCCCTTCCTTTTTGCGGATAGTTAAAACTTTAAAAACATTCAGTGTACTAGAAAAAACTTTTGTCAAATATTCCTAGACCTTATTTAAAGGGAATGGTTTTATATTTTTGTTTACAGGCTTTATAATGTTTAGTTGTAGCTGGTAAGCAATGTTTACATCTGCCGTGCAGCAAATTCTTGTTTGTCGATCGTTCGAAAATCAACAACACTGAAAACTTAAGGCAAAGTTTTCTTAGCCTCAATGAAATTACGTGATCAATTATGCTAAAGTAGACAAGTAACCAAAATCAATTGCAAATTTTAACATGAAAAATATCTAAACATATCTAATTTCATATATTGTTTGTTATTTGGACTTTAAAAGTTTCAAATACAACATTCAGTTGTGTGGTTTCGTATTACTAAAATATTCCAAATCAGTGTTAAGCTTTATAAATTGACGTTTATGTACATGTATCCGCCAGACATCCTGGTCAATCAATACTCCTTTCAAATTATATCTATTTTCGTCAACAATAGTCTTCTATTTCTACCCGTTCGACACTATAATATTTTAGTGTTCTATGAGTCTTTAAATTTTGTATATATTAGTTTGTAAAATACAATACATTCAAATGCTTATTGACGAGCAGTTGAATATATTAAAGTAATATGCGTCTAGTTTAATATATGAAATAATAAAGGAGATTATCGGAGATGTTCTAGCTATCAAGGTAATGCTGTAAGTTAGGAATTTATCTTCATTTATTTTGAATGCTTTTTTTACCTGCGTAAATATAAATGTGAATATAAATATGTTAGTTTGTTTGTTTGTTCAAATTTATGTTTTTGAGAAATTATTTCCGGTTTACTGAGATATCGCTACATAAATGAATTATCAGTTTTTATGACCCCTAACATATACAATTTCTATGTCGTAACATGCATTGTAAGCAAAGTGAACTTTGACTGCAACCCCCGATCCATACGAATCTTTTTGCTTAGGGATTCAGTATTAGAATTAACACAGTTAAGTGACAAAACAAACTAGATTTGACTAGATTGCCACTGATGAATCTCATTGGAGGTTTCCTGATTTGCTATGTTTTAGGTACGGTTGGTACGTAACTCAACCGTTATTGTTGTTTTAGATTTTATTAAATGCATGAAATTATTTTATTGATCATGATCAAAATAAAAACAAAAACAAAACACAAATTGCATTTCATCATAAGATAACTTTTTTTAAAAATAGTATGGATGTCACCACTTCTAGAATACTTTGTTTGTGATTTTATATGATTTTATCTAGTTATTCAAATTCAACAGACAAAAATAATGACGTGAAAACTATATTATAGTGTGATCAATATGTTTTACAATGCTCCTTTATGTTTGGTTTCTTCATTCAATGTAAGTAAACCTCATTTATCTAAAAATGTATATAAATGGGTGTTATCATTTTTTTTTACAATAGGTTTTCTGTTCGAAACAGGAATAACGACAATTGGCAAGATGTCAACAGTACAACAAGGTGGTTATGTAAACAATGTCGTCGATGGATACCCAACCGACTTATCCGATACTGTAGAATACGACGAATGTCTTGAAAATGTCGACAAATCCGATTATGATCAATTGTCTCCAGACAAAGATGGTTTAAATCATGATTATATAATTCTGACATCAACACTCAAGGCGGATTCTAAGCGATCAGACTATGAAGTTCATCAAAAGAACAAATCTCTATTGAGGCCAATATTTCTTATAATGTGTTGCATCTTGATTTCTGTAGGAGTTACAGCTGCTGCCACTTTCTTTGCAACAAAACATTTTTATTCAGAAAACAAGGACAAGTGTAAGTATATAACAAATTGGTCGTTTATTTGGTAATTTGCGTTCCTATCATATGGCATAGAAAGACAATTTTGGTGCACATGAAACATGTTGAACCACACTACATTTAGTATTAACAAATTTACGATACTATAAGATGTTCAATGTTTTATAATTTGTTAGTTATTTTTTTCGCTTGAGTTTGTGTAATATGTTTTTATGTCCAGTATTTTTTAATATTATTTTTATTCAGTATCACCTATCCAACGAAAAGATGCATCTTAAAGAGGCATTAGCTAGTAGACAAAATTTGATTATTTTTTGTTCAATCATTAATGAAAGTGACATTGTGAAATAATAGTAGCCAGTTTATGCAATTTTGTAAAAACAAGTTGAGAAATGTGGCTGCTGAATTATTCACTTGCAAGTGAATTTTCGACCTCATTGAATCCGTATTCATGTGAGCTTCAATTTAATTCCTTAGCTGAGAAAGATGGCATGAATTGGAAGTGTTCAGTTATTAAAAGGAAAAGAATGTCAACATTGAAACGGAAATAAGGGTATAATATGAAATCAAACAGACACAGATAAATCCAATTGCACGATTTCGCCATTTATTTTGGTTTTTTTTCGGGTTATATGACCATGATGACCATCGGCAGTCTTCAGAGGTCACCTCGATAGTTTATTAAATGGTGTCTAGACTAAAATACTCACAAAATGCTGATACATATCATCAAGCCTATGCATTGAAAATTGTTTGTTTTATACTTTTTTTAATTTTTATATACGTTTTAGTATGTTATAAATCAAATATGAGAATTTGGGTTACATATCAAGTAAGTAAACCATTTATCCGACAAATATGTGAAGAAAATGTTTAGCTCATCAACTCAAAAAGATTTACACCAAATTCGTCGACAGTGTTCGATTCATATATGTATAATCTGTCGAATGATTCAAAAGTCATATGTAGTAGAGAGTTAACCTGTCGGCTGTGATGCTCCTGATACTGTTATAATATAGCTCATATATAAGCTTCCTCAACAAATGTACAATGCAATGTAATGTAAAATAATATGTTTTTCTGTATACCTTTGTTTAATTTAGCTGATACCAGAATAAAATGATATACAAAAGAGAGTAAGAGCTATTGAAAAATAAAAGGCTATACTTTGGAACTTTAACCGCTAGTTTTGTATACATAAGACTAATAAGTGGGGTTTGTATCGAAATTATTTGAGGACTATATTCTATACGAAGTTTGAAGGTATTGGAAACGAACCAGTTTGAATAATATGGTTGATATATAAATAAGAAGATGTGATATGATTGCCAATGAGACAACTATTCACCAAATCTAAAATGGAGTAGATGTAAGCAATAATAGCCAACCATAGGGCCCTCAACATCAAGAAATACCCATACCGTATAGTCGTCTATAAAAAGGCCCCGATTTGAATAATATGAAACAATTCAATTGATGATACCCTCGGGGACAACACGTCAACCAGCACTGTCATCGACCAAGTGGTTGTAAAAACTTCGCAAAATACCAGTTTGTCTACATAAAACTAATCAGTGGAGCTCTTTGATGACAGTTTGAAGACTGATACAAACACAAAAGGCGTGGCTGGTGATACCTTGGACGAGACATTCACCGGAATGGCATCGATTCCATGGTTGTAAAAAGCATAGATCAAGAACATGATGGTAATAATGCCACCATGACATAAGTGAACATATTGAATATTCGAAAGAATAATAGTGAAATTAAGACGCCGTGAAAATCAACCATTTATATATTTATAAAATAACATTTGCTGCATTCAAAAATTAAATAAATTCCTTTTTCTATTTTATTTCAAACTTATTTTCAGATACAGACTCAACACAATGCAATATGTCTAGCGACAACGGCTATAATGAAACAGTCGACAGTCCTGGTATGTCTTCTCACTAACCACAGTAATCCACACGATTACCACTTTTAGTTAACCAAATGATATGTTTTGTCCTTGCCTTTATTTTTCGACCATGCATCAAACTCCTTAGATAAGACATAAATAAGACATTAATTAGGTAGATAAGGATTATCATATTCCATGAATACATAAACGAGTTGGTTCAGTCATTTGTGCTTGTCTAATTGGCGTAGTTTCATTATCTTGATTTTTCAATATACATATAAAAGAAGAAAAATGAATTTCCTGCACCCGAGACTATATCTAAGGTAATTGTTTAAAACAGCAACAAAACTAATATATCAGTTCACAAAAAAACTCTTATTGTCAACTTCAAAGTTTGAAGAAAGCATTGAACTTCACTACGTTTTTAAATCATTTTAATCATCTGTTCTGTTACATAATTTCTATGTAAATTAAACTAAATGATCGGCACTTTAATGCAAGCATCTTACTCTTATTATCTCGTAAAGTAAGAATTTAAAGCTTTAAAGGGGCACTAGCACGAGATACATAAAAAAATTAAATTATGATTTTTTTGTTCAATCATTAATGGAAGTGAAATAGTGAAATAATAATTCGTTATTAGCAGTCAGTATGGTTCAATTTTGTCAAAATAAGCTAAGAAACATCGATGATGAATTATTCACTTGCAAGTGAACAATTCGACATCATTGAATCCGTATTCATGTGAACTTCAATTTAACCCCTTAGCTAGAGATGGATCATGCATGATTGATGCGTGTTAGGCTATTAAAGAAAAAGAATGTCAACATTGAAAGTGAAACAAAGTTTAATCATTTGATTGACTGATTCGATCCACAATAAATCATTCTTATACAGGTAAAATCGAAAATTAACTTATTTTTTCAACCTTAAAGTTGAAATCAAACAGACATAGAAAAATCCATTTGCACGAGGTCCATATGTCTATTTATATGTCTATTTATGTTTATATCGTGTTATGTGATCGTCGGTTGTTTTCGGGGTCATCTCGATAGTTAATTAGATGACGTCTAGACTAAAATACACACGACACGAAGCTACATATTATCGAACTTATGCCCTGTAAATTGTTTATTTCAGACTTTTTATAATTTGGATAAATGTTTTACATTGTTATAAATGTAATATGAGAATTTGAGTCAAATCGGTGAACATGCGTTTAAAAGGAAAAGAATGTCAACATTGAAACGGAAATAAGGGTATAATATGAAATCAAACAGACACAGATAAATCCAATTGCACGATTTCGCCATTTATTTTGGTTTTTTGTCGGGTTATATGACCATGATGACTATCGGCAGTCTTCAGAGGTCACCTCGATAGTTTATTAAATGGTGTCTAGACTAAAATACTCACAAAATGCTGATACATATCATCAAGCCTATGCATTGAAAATTGTTTGTTTTATACTTTTTATAATTTTGATATACGTTTTAGTATGTTATAAATCAAATATGAGAATTTGGGTTACATATCAAGTAAGTAAACCATTTATCCGACAAATATGTGAAGAAAATGTTTAGCTCATCAACTCAAAAAGATTTACACCAAATTCGTCGACAGTGTTCGATTCATATATGTATGATCTGTCGAATGATTCAAAAGTCATATGTAGTAGAGAGTTAACCTGTCGGCTGTGATGCTCCTGATACTGTTATAATATAGCTCATATATAAGCTTCCTCAACAAATGTACAATGCAATGTAATGTAAAATAATATGTTTTTCTGTATACCTTTGTTTAATTTAGCTGATACCAGAATAAAATGATATACAAAAGAGAGTAAGAGCTATTGAAAAATAAAAGGCTATACTTTGGAACTTTAACCGCTAGTTTTGTATACATAAGACTAATAAGTGGGGTTTTTATCGAAATTATTTGAGGACTATATTCTATACGAAGTTTGAAGGCATTGGAAACGAACCAGTTTGAATAATATGGTTGATATATAAATAAGTAGATGTGATATGATTGCCAATGAGACAACTATTCACCAAATCTAAAATGGAGTAGATGTAAGCAATAATAGCCAACCATAGGGCCCTCAACATCAAGAAATACCCATACCGTATAGTCGTCTATAAAAAGGCCCCGATTTGAATAATATGAAACAATTCAATTGATGATACCCTCGGGGACAACACGTCAACCAGCACTGTCATCGACCAAGTGGTTGTAAAAACTTCGCAAAATACCAGTTTGTCTACATAAAACTAAACAGTGGAGCTCTTTGATGACAGTTTGAAGACTGATACAAACACAAAAAGCGTGGCTGGTGATACCTTGGACGAGACATTCACCGGAATGGCATCGATTCCATGGTTGTAAAAAGCATAGATCAAGAACATGATGGTAATAATGCCACCATGACATAAGTGAACATATTGAATATTCGAAAGAATAATAGTGAAATTAAGACGCCGTGAAAATCTACCATTTATATATTTATAAAATAACATTTGCTGCATTCAAAAATTATAAATAAATTCCTTTTTCTATTTTATTTCAAACTTATTTTCAGATACAGACTCAACACAATGCAATATGTCTAGATATAACGGCAATAATGAAACAATCGACAGTCCTGGTATGTCTTCTCACTAACCACAGTAATCCACACGATTACCACTTTCAGTTAACCAAATGATATGTTTTGTCCTTGCCTTTATTTTTCGACCATGCATCAAACTCCTTAGATAAGACATAAATAAGACATTAATTAGGTAGATAAGGATTATCATATTCCATGAATACATAAACGAGTTGGTTCAGTCATTTGTGCTTGTCTAATTGGCGTAGTTTCATTATCTTGATTTTTCAATATACATATAAAAGAAGAAAAATGAATTTCCTGCACCCGAGACTATATCTAAGGTAATTGTTTAAAACAGCAACAAAACTAATATATCAGTTCACAAAAAAACTCTTATTGTCAACTTCAAAGTTTGAAGAAAGCATTGAACTTCAATACGTTTTTAAATCTTTTTAATCATCTGTTCTGTTACATAATTTCTATGTAAATTAAACTAAATGATCGGCACTTTAATGCAAGCATCTTACTCTTATTATCTCGTTAAGTTAGCATTTAAAGCTTTAAAGGGGCACTAGCACGAGATACATAAAAAAATTAAATTATGATTTTTTTGTTCAATCATTAATGGAAGTGAAATAGTGAAATAATAATTCGTTATTAGCAGTCAGTATGGTTCAATTTTGTCAAAATAAGCTAAGAAACATCGATGATGAATTATTCACTTGCAAGTGAACAATTCGACATCATTGAATCCGTATTCATGTGAACTTCAATTTAACCCCTTAGCTAGAGATGGATCATGCATGATTGATGCGTGTTAGGCTATTAAAGAAAAAGAATGTCAACATTGAAAGTGAAACAAAGTTTAATCATTTCATTGACTGATTCGATCCACAATAAATCATTCTTATACAGGTAAAATCGAAAATTAACTTATTTTTTCAACCTTAAAGTTGAAATCAAACAGACATAGAAAAATCCATTTGCACGAGGTCCATATGTCTATTTATATTTATGTTTATGTTTATATCGTGTTATGTGATCGTCGGTTGTTTTCGGGGTCATCTCGATAGTTAATTAGATGACGTCTAGACTAAAATACACACGACACGAAGCTACATATTATCGAACTTATGCCCTGTAAATTGTTTATTTCAGACTTTTTATAATTTGGATAAATGTTTTACATTGTTATAAATGTAATATGAGAATTTGAGTCAAATCGGTGAACATGAATTTGATAGCTAGTGCCCCTTTAAAAATGACGAAAAAGGTTAAAATTAAAAGACTCATGCAGTTGAGCCTGACTATCTTACTCATGTCACTAACGAGAAATTTTAAGAAGGGAAATTGAATGAGGACAATACAGCTTAAAGTGACGGATACTTCTGTTCTAACCTGCCCAGAGTACCTGAGCTAACCATGTTTGTTTGGTGTATTTTTTTGTTGTTCAATTTTCAGTTTTTCGTATAGTGTTTTATCTATGTTCTGATTTTCTTTTGCGTTTTCAACTTACATTGTTATAACATTATATATTTACCCTCTCCTTTATTTTCTCTAGGCAAAACTTATTCATTTAGATTGTTTTCAAGTTTTTTTGTATGTAAACTGGTTTCATGTCACGAGGTATGAAATCAGTTTACTTAACAGTTCAAACAAACGTTCAAAGCTTGATATTTGAATGAATAAAACTATCGTCTCATTGTAGGGTCATGTTTGATAGGACCATGTGTAAACGGAGGAACATGCGTAAACTATACATGTCTATGTGAAGATGGCTTCGCTGGATTCAAATGTGAAATAGGTTGGTTTCAAAAAATTTAATTCTGGTATTAACGATGAGTTTATTTCATACTAGTACTGGATTTAATATATGCAAAAAATACAAATATTGTACTATAACCTTAAACGCATCTAAAGGATAAATATTTCGAGGACTAAAAGAGGGGCGAAAGATACCAGAGGGATAGTCAAACTCATAGGTCGAAAACAAACTGACAACGCCATGGCTAAAAAATAAAAAGACAAACAGACAAATAATACTACACAAGACACAACATAGAAAACTAAAGACTAAGCAACACAAACCCCACCAAAAACTGGGGGTGATCTCAGATGCTCCGGAAGGGTAAGCAGATCCTGCTCCACATGTGGCACCCGTCGGGTTGCTCATGTTATTATAAACCCTGTAAATAGTATAATTCGGCGGTGAATTCGTGGTGAAAAGGGAAGTGGATTGTATTTACGACATAAGGAACATATCCGATATCATCTGTGAAACGGTTATTCCATAACGGCCAACCAACTCGTGATGGCGTCCGTAAAATTTACGAAGGGATGATTTCAACTTCACCATTTGGAATTCTTGGTTTAATAGCTTCCTTCCTAAGGTGTAATCTATTTTGTATTTGATACAACTTATAATATACCAAACATTCCCTCACACAGGGAAAAACTCACGTGAATTATACGTGAAATGCACATGCATTTTACCTCAAACGAAAATAACATCAAAATGTTTCACGTGAACATCATGTGCATTTTCAAAATAAAGTTATTCATATAATATCTAATTTTTTTTGTGTACGAAAGTAAGAAGCTATTCAATTAATCGCTATATAAATGCATGTCATGTAAACTGATTTCAAATTAAGTATTCGTGTACGTTATTTGTATTTTTTGTTTTTGTTTCAAAAACCCTTGATAAAGGAAATGAATATATGTATATGTATCAGACCAAACATCCGACCATTCCTTTTCTTTATAATAGATGCCAATTTTCTATATCTCAATCTTATCTTAATTAAATTGAAATAATCTTTATTCCAGATGTCAACCAAACATGCAAATATGATGCCGACACACTTATACCACACCCAAATACATGTCAGCTATTCTATAACTGCAGCCAAGCGGTGTCGCCCCTTCCCACAGAAGACAGACTATACACTCATAGGCCACAAATTCTGAGACCTGCCTACCTGCATGAATGTCCGTACCCTGAACTTTTCTCCACATCAACTTTGACCTGTCATAATTATACGGAAGTGAATTGCAGGTCTAGATTTGAAACAAAAAACAAATGTGAGTTGATAAGAACAATACAAAACAAAGTTGAATATCAATAAGACTGCGCAAAACTACGGTATCCAAATTTGATTGTGAAAAGTGTTTACATCTAGGTGTAGCGTGTATTATCTAGGAAACTTTTATGTAATATTCTTCAAAAAGAACCAAGAAAGCGAATCAAATGAAAAATATTTGACAAATGCAACTTATCAATTATAATAAAAAAACTAAGTATAAATGAATAAATAAATAAAAAAAATCGTACAGACATTAAGGACTGGTAGGTTGTCCACTACTACCAACTTTGCATTGGTTTAACGGTTTGAAAAAGTAAAAACGTCGAAAACAACATTATAAATATGAAAAAAAAAATATCCATAGGCAGACGATTTACTCTTAAATTTTAACTTAACATTGTTTTTCTAACATACAGGTGACTATCTTGCTGTTAGTTATAATTGCGTTCATGGACCATGCAGAGTCTGCGTTTATTTTACACCTGACTGCATGGGAATCTCTGAATGGAATGTACAGAAATGAATACGTTGAGCCACCCGGAGGACATTATTTTGAATGTCAAGATGAAAGAATTATCTATGATGGCGGTAATCCCTGTCAAACCAACATGGCACCTTATAATGGCAAATGCAGAGATTTATTCGAAATTCCAACATCCTATTGGCAGGTTGGATATGGTGTTGACTGCTCCGGTCGGCCAAACGGTAACTATAAAAGTGAACGGATTCAAAGGTGTGATATCTACTACATTTGTGTGAATGGAAACTCCACACTAGCACACTGTGGAGAAGGAACAGTCTTTGATTCAAAATCTTTATTCTGCCAGAATCCAGCAAGTGCATGTCGTCCCTGTGGATCTGTCGATAACGGCTGTTAATGATATAACAGTCAATATTGTAAAGCGAATGTGCAAACGTTTTCTAAACAGTCAAGATAAAATCATTTGTAAAATGGCCTTACTCTACTTTTTGATATAAAAAACAACATTGATCAGTTCCCTTTTCTATTGGATTTACGTTTCATACACACACCAGAAAGGCCGAAATATTGCAATATCTAAATCCATTCAGGCCATTAGAATGAAGGGCAAAGAAAGAATGTATGTATTTACTAAGGACTCGGACTTAATGCTCTTTAACTTAGTAGTGTATTTCATTTTTTATTCGATAATGAGTAATGAGTATTTTATAGACGAAACGTGCGTCTAGCGTACAAAATAAAAACTTATTGTTGGTGAATAATTTTAATGCAATATTTCTTTGTTACATAACATGTGTATTTCAACGGACTTATTTTCATAGCAGTGTTCGAACTATAAAATTAAAATCATGCGTATGCTTCTCATTGATTGAAAAGTTCTAAAAATATTATTTTATATATATTATTTATCACAGCAGATCTTGAATACTAGTAATATCCTTTTCATCTATTCGCAATTTCTTTTAGACTCCGGACAGTTAAATAAGATTTTTGCTGAGTTACCTCTCGTATGCTTGATATAATATACTTTATATCTCTAGCTGTTATATGTGCCATTGACATTTGTTTGGGGCATATTCCAGATCTCTGTTTTCATTTGCATACAGAAGATCATTCGCGGTCATCTTTGAACACAAAACCGTAACGTTCATTGTATTGCATTCATATATTGTATTGTTGAAATAGGCGTGTTTGTAAGACATATATATTGTATATGGCACCCACCCTTTTTAGTCAGTTTGAACCAGAAATTTATGATATTTTGGAATATGAAAAAAAATATTTTGAAAATTTGGTGCGCTGAAATACACAAAATTTTTTTTTCATTAGGCGTATTTCTATTTGTATCCATCTGAAGAGTTAAAGTCATATGCAACTTCAAATTAAAAAAAAAAAAAAAAAAATATGCATATGTTTTTTTTTTTTTAACTAAATGGCTTGTTTTTATTATAAAACTTATGTACAAATACTTTTTTCTCAAGAAAAATCTATAATTTGTCCAAATTTAGAAGACGTCTCCTTTTTTTTAAATGCTTGATTCAAGTAAACAATTCGCCGATATCATTTCCGTATGCAGTGAACTCAGTGTGACCTTTCTCGTAAAAATCCAATAATCGCAATACGCATGGATCTGTCATTGAAATAAACTATTATGATCTGATTGTTCATGTTAATCACGTGCTAAATATCCATGCTTCTTCGTTTGTTGTTTACTAAGGTGACAATCGCTAAACTACGGTTTCCAAACACGACAATTAATTAGCTGCCATATTTTCACATCATAACAGGCAGAGAGAAATGCTTTTTTGACGATTGTACAATATGGATGCGTAAAAAATGACAAAATTGTACACAGAAGACTTAGTTTATGATATATACATGCATACTTTTATAAATTGTTACTTGGATGAAGAGTTGTCTCATTTGCACTCATACCACATCTCCCTATATCTATTGGTTCAAGAACTGGATAAACATTATTTTTTCACCAGTCACTCGTTTCATATGACTTTAAGGGCATACGATACAGTTTCGATCCCATGATGATTTTTTCCGAAAATTTGCATATCAGCTATTTTTCATCTAAGAAACTCAAATATGTAATAAAAAATATACCTGCATGTGCTACTTTAAGAGATAAAAAGGGTCGAAATTTTAGACATTAACTCTAAATTTCGTTTTTTTTTGTTATCTTTCTAGCCTTTGGATAGAAACACACCTAACTTTTTTATTTCAACAGATAAACACAAGCAGATTTTTGTAAAAACATTATGAAAATCTTCTTTACATTAATATGCTCTTAATATGTACAACAATTCTTTGGAAACAAAGTTTAAAGATTTTAAGAAAAAAAAACGGCATTTTTTACGATAAATTTAAAAAATATTCAATGTTGACTTTTTCATTAAAATAAATACAAACAATCTTCATACGTTATCAAACTTAATGCCATTTTAAGACATGAACTCGTTTACAAATTTAAATTTTACTGCACATACTGTTACCATCTCGAAATTAAAGTCCAGTGAAATCGACCTCAAATTATCCATGACCCGTCAAATGAATGAATACTTTAACTGCTACCCTCATATCAGAAAAATGAAAATAACACGATCAATCATATTCAAATATGAAATATTAAGAGTGGTTTAGACATAAATAGTATATATATTGGATTTGTTGCTGATAGTAACTGAGATACGTACTTGACCTTTAAACCCGATCCATGAAATGAGGACGAGGCTAGGTGAATCAGGTCTGATGGACTTGTATACCTTGCAAGGAATCCATATACCAAATATAGTTATCATAAACAAAGTTAATGAACCTTGATAATCAGGTCAAGAACAATGAACATATGCCCGACTGCATACAAGTATGAAGAATCCATGTTTTCTACCATTGTTAAAAAATGTAAAACTTCATACAAAAAAAAAGTAACTTACGTCATCGCCGCCGGATTGTTTTCTCTGTGTCTCGCATTCTTGGACATTTGTCGCAGGCGAGACAAAAATTAAATGGCCTGGGGTCATAATTGAATGTTTTTAAAGGGTGCTATCAGCCCAGCCTAGCTGTAAAATTTATATTTTTAGTCTATTTTACGATTTTATTACGACCTTGAGATGTGGACATTGATAAAACTGTATTTCTTGTCAATTATAACCTTGCAGTTACTGCAACACGTCCATGCTAAGCCGGGTTTTCAGATTTCTGACAAAGCAGTGACCTAGTTTTTATAGACCAGATTTCTTTTGACCATATCCCTTTTGTTCCTGAAATACCTTTGCATGTAAAAGTTAATACCTACTGTTTTTACTGATAACGAAGTGGCTATCAAATGACTCCATTGTTTTCAGCTACTTCTCATAGTTTTCCAAAATCAAACTCCAAGAAGGCATTAAGGTGGTAATATTATCATTACATGCTTACAAAAAGACAATAAACCGAGACATTTACTGAATCAAAGTGCTTGTTAGCACTGAAGGGTAAAGATTGCTTTCATTCATCAATTGGAAGTCGAATTAAATACTGCATTGTATAAATCATTGGTTGAAGTTGATTCAATTACATTTCTAGACAAAGGAAGATAACTTCAATTTTTAAAGATGACTCTAACAATGACATCATTTATATTTTTAGAACAAATATTAGATTCCTCCACCTTGCAAATTTTATATAATTTTCTTTAAAAGTATAACATCATTTTGTGACTTGAATATCCAAGTGTTTTTTTCATTGATAAATTTCTAATGTTCATGGATGGGATGTATACAATGTTATGATCAATGTACTATATTTTGTGTATCTTAAAAGTAGTGATTAGCCTTGGAAGATTTAGATATCAAGTCAGTCCCATCGGGTTTTGACTGCATTTCATACAATCTTTACCTAAAAATTGTAGACCTATCTCTTTGCTGAATACCGTATAGAAAATTGGTTCAGGGGTTGTTGCTAGTAGATTTAAAAAAAGGTTTTGACAAACTGATTGATTTAGATCAAACTGGCTTGATTTATGGTCTTTTACAGTATACAGAAGAACATAACAGTCCAGGTTTATTGCTTTTAATTGATTTTGAAAAAGCATTTGATTCTCTATCTTGGGACTTTCTGGTGTCAGTTTCGCAATTTTTCAATTTTGGTGAATCTATTATTAACTGAGTTAAGGTATTTTATAATAATATCTCATCTGCAGTCATTCAGGGGGGAAATCTTTCAGACTTTTTTTCAAATAGGACGTGGCTGTAGACAAGGGGACCCCTTATCACCATACCTTTTTGTACTTTGTGCAGAAATTTTGGCAATTTGAATACGGGGGAATAGAAATATCACTGGCATAACTGTGACTAGGATAGAACATAAGTTATCACAGTTTGCTGATGATACTTCACTTATTTTAGATGGAAGTGAACAGTCCTTAAATGAACCTTTAAATGAATTAAGATTGGAATGCAAAACTTTCCGGGCTTATTATAAACTTTTCTAAAACACAGGTAGTTTGGATTGGGAGTAAAAAATACTGTAGTGATAAACTTTGTCCAAACAGAAATTTATCCTGGGGTACAAGATCTTTTAAGTTATTGGGTATTTATTATATAATTTAATTTTGATGTTGATCTTGCTAAAATGATTGACATTAATTATTAATGAGAGGGTTGTGCAGATAAAAAATCTAATTCAGATATGGTCAAAAAGAAATCTTACAGTAATAGGTAAAATTACAGTTGTGAAAACTTTGATTTTACCTGTCCTTAATCACCTTATAATTACATTGCCAAATCCAAATCAAGAACTTGTGAAAAAGAGCAATGAGCTTATTTTTACATTTATGTGGAATTCACCTGTTCATAGAGTCAAGAAAGAGCTGTTGCATAAAGATTACAATGAAGGTGGATTGAAAATGATCTGCTTTAGCTCCTTCATCACAGCCCTCAAATCTACATGGGTTAGAAAACTTTTCCAATCTGACAATAAATGGAAAAAAATATATAATCAAGAAAAATTATTTAAATTAGGAAATGGTTATCTGTCAAATATTAAAGTTAATATGAAAAATAAATTTTGGCATGATTTTTATAAAGATGAAAACAATACATGGGAATATTTTATGTCAAGCCCACTGTGGATGAATAATTGTATAAAAATAGAAAATAAACATGTATTTTTATAAAAACTGGTTTAATAAAGGTATATTTTTCATTAATGACATTGTATCAGATGCTGCAAAAATTCTCAGTTTAGAACAGTTAGAAGAAACATTTAAAATTACAGAAATGTTATGAAATATAACAGCATAATTTCTGCTGTAAAGAATGCAAGAAAGGACTATGTTTTTGATAATTATAAACTAGTCACTCCATTTATTCCTTCGTTTCCCATGATTTCTTTTAAAAGCTAAAGGGGAACTAAAGACATGTTTTCACTATTAATTAGAAATAATATAGTTTCAACGGGTCAGAAAAAATGGGATTAAATTTTAAATGTAGATGAAAAATGAATGGAGATTAATTTTTAAATTACCTTTTATAGTCACAAAAAATACCAAACTGCAGTGGTTACAATACAGAATAAATCAGCATAAACTTTTGAATACAATTAATGTCACTGACAATCCAAATTGTACTTTTTGCCAAGAAGAAGTAGAAACTATTGTACATTTATTTTGGAATTGTGAGATTGTTCAAACATTCATTGATGAAATTGACTCATGGTTTTTGTCTAATGGTATAAGTTTTCCATTTACCATAAAACATTTTCTGTTTGGGGATATTACAAAATCATTTAGGGGGAATGCTGCAAGTTTGATTTATTTGCAAATAAAACAATATATTTTTAACTGCAAATATTTTAAGAAAGCTTTAACATTGCAGGCAGTGCAAAGGAAAATAAAATCTTTATACAGCATTGAAAATTTAATTGCTGTTAAAGATAAAAGAGTAGATATTTTTTACAAGAGTTGGAATATTTTTACCATCCTTTTCAGTGAATGATCAGTTATTTTTTACATTGTATATGTGTACATAAATTAGTAGAAATAGAATTGTCATATGATATTTTGTCTCTTAAATGAGAAAGAACTACATAATTTTGACATCTGTGCAAATGAATAACCAAAACAAACAAAACAACTAAATAACCAAAACAAACAAAACAACTTTTATAATTTCTTTAAAATTCATCTGATTATTATTTATCTTTCAATTATTTTTTGTTTTTTTTTGTTGTTGTTGATTTTGTTCAAATGTTGTGGTTTTTGTTGTTTTTTGTTGTTGTTTTTTTTCCTTATTTGAATTCAAAAAAATCTACAGACATACTTTAAACATATATCTTATATATCTTTTTATTTTACTACTAAAACAACACAAATTATGTATTTTTCATAACCCATGTATTTGTTATATTAGATAATTCTATGTTTGATAATCTTAATGGTAAGCTTCTTTTTTGATATTACTGACATGGTATATAATATTTTTAAGTATGGAAAATTGTATGTATGATACAAACAAAAACTAACAGCTGTATAAATATGTTATTTATTAATGTTAACGACGCCTGGATATGATACCAGTACTTGATGTTTTCCACTATCAAATGTACAGATTTCAATAAAAAACGATAAAAAAAAGGTGGTAATAATTTCATAACACATCTGGAAAGAGTTTATAGCCCATGAATTGAAAGATTGAACTCCCTGCTGTTTACAAAGTTCAGCTGGTGCAGTTTTAATATTTTAGTCATGTTTACTTATTTGTAGATCTTACTTTGCTGAACATTATTGCTGTTTATAGTTTATCTCTATTTAAAATGATATTCAAAATAACCAAAAACCTTTGAATTTCCTAAAAATTACCAATTCTGGGCAACAAACCAACAAAGGGTTGTCTGATTTGTCAGAAAATCTAATGGGCAGATAGATCTTAACCTGAAGTAGATTTTTACCCCAAGTTCAGACTTGCTCTAAATGCTTTAGTTTCAGAGACATAACCCCAAAACTTATTTTATCCCTATGTGCTATTTTTAGCCATATCACCCATGTTGGTTGGAACACAGGGTAATCAGACATTTTTAAAACTAGATATTCTTATGATGATTGTGGTCAAGTTTGGTTAAATTTGTCTCAGTAGTTTGAAAGGAGAATATTTTTGAAAAATATAACAAAAATTTACGAAAAAATTGTTAAAAATTGACTATAAAGGGCAATAACTCCTTCAGGGATCAATTGACAATTTTGTTCATGCTAACTTGTTTGTAGATCTTACTTAGCTGAACATTATTGCTGTTTGCAGATTATCTCTAGCTATAATAATATTCAAGATAATAACCAAACACTGCAAAATTTCCTTAAATTACCAATTCAGGGGCAGCAACCCACAAGAGGTTGACTGATTTGTCTGAAAATTTCAGTGTAGATAGATCTTTACCTGATGAACATTTTAACCCCATGTCAGATTTGCTCTAAATGCTTTAGAGATAAAAGCAAAAAACTGCATTTTACCCCTATGTTCTATTTTTAGCCATGTCCGCCATCTTGATTGTCAGGCAAGGTCATCAGACACATTTTTAAAACTATATACCCTATTGATGATTGTGGCCAAGTTTGGTAAAATTTGTCAGTAATTTCAGAGAAGAATATTTTTGTAAAATTTTAATGACGACAGACGACAACAACGACACCAAGTGATGAGAAAAGCTCAGGTAAGCTAAAAAGTATGGAGGGTCAATAGGATATAAAAAAACAAGAGTGCACACATTGAAACGTCTCGCCTGCTATACTGACCATTGATTTTATGTTGAAATTCTTACAGATAAAGGTTTTACTAAAGATATCACATTAAGTATACAGTATATAGTATCAATTCAAATGACAAAAAAAAATGTAATTTTATTTCCAGCAGTCACTGTACCATGAATTGAGGTCATGGATATTGGACATGTGACAGAAATTAAATTTTATATACATTGTTTCTTAAATATGAAAACTAAACAGTCTTCAGCATAGAAAAATTTTGTCTCATTCACCACTAAATATCTGGTGTAATCTGTGTATGTATCACTACATTCAAAAATCAATTTCAGCCATTAATTAAATTCCACTGCCCTTACACACAAATAATTGTATCCTTATAACAAAATGACCTTGTTATAAGACGAAATACTGTGATTTCCAATTAAGGAATTGTACTTTTAACAGTAGCCCAGCATATTATTCCGTCAAATACTTTATGCAGTTATTAAAGTACCCACTGGCCAGTACATAGCTATTGAATAAAACTCTGTCCATTTGAAACAACTCCATCATCAAGTCCGGTTTCTTCTTAAGATACTTTTTACATGAGTCAACTTCCCTCTTAAATTTTAATGTTGTTCTAAAATTTGTCAGTGGTTTCCTCTTTAATCCTTTATATTGAAGTTTCCTACAAAAAAAAAGTTAATAACAAATTTGATAACTTCATCTAATTTAATTTAAATAAATCAAATTGATTAGATTATGTGTGTTCATTAGACACCATACCCTATTTGCAATATCACATTTCAACATTCATTGAACCCTGAAATAGGGTTCCTAACCCTTTTTGGCATACATTTTAAAGCTTACTTCATAATTATAATCTTGTGTACAAAGTTTCCAGTTGATGTGACAATAAAAATTAATTGCCCCAAAACTTTAACCTACCTCAAACCAAATGTTTAACCTGATACAGGATGAATGGACAACAGATGAACAAACAAATGAACCAACTGATTGATGCACACACCAGAAAACATAATTTAATGCCCCTCTACTTTTGTCGGCAGGGCATATAATTATCAAAGTTTATAACTAAGGTAAATACAGAGTGAAAACTTTCATGAAGAGTATGGAGCATTTCATAAAGGGTAAAATGATCTCACTGTTTTGGTATTGCCCCTGTCAAAATTTTCTTACACGATTTTGAAGAGGCAGGTATACATAATACAGTTATCAAAATAGTAAATTTATCTTTCAAAATTTAAATATATTGAAGTGTCAAATTCAAAACTGCTAAGCCTTTTTGCAATGTCCCCAACAGCTGTGCAAATGAGCAATAAAATTGAGCATGCAGTATAGAATTGTACAACAGGAGCAAAGATTATATTATAAAGGTGTCTTTCAAGCTGCTCTATGTGTAGCTGTTATTATTGTCATTTCAAGGTAATTGTGGTATTTCTATATATCAATGCTGGCACATTACTAGATTCCTATATATGAAACCGTTTTCCAGTCAGGATTTGAAAAGCTAAGGGCAGGGTGCTCTTCTATAAACAAGAGCAGTTAAGCATATAACCTGTATAGTGAAAACAAAAATAATATAAACAAACATATATGCAAATTAATCTGATACAAGATTTACTTTCATCTTTATCAGTGTCCCAACAAGTAAAAAATGACCATATATTTGCATCAATGTGTTAAATGCCTTCACTTTATCTTTTGCATTATCATAACATGTGTGAGGGTCATAATGGGGGTACCTTCATGACAAATAACGGTAAAAAATCTTGCCAAATGACGTTAACAGTAATTTTTGGTGCATGGCGATAAAATGAAACTTTTCTTTATGACGATAAAAAAATCGACTGATTTTGACAAATCAGGTTAAATTGTTTCCTAAAATAACGGTAACTTTTAATTATTTTCAACCTCTGACAAATCACGATAAGGATATTTTGACGAATCAGGATAAAATTTTAACCAAATTGATGCTCAAGGTAGCGGAAAATGACCATTTGACGCCTGACAGTAAAGGGCATTCCTACCCTAGTGTGTGTGTACAAATTGGAAATGAGGACATTATACTATGTTTCGAGCATTGGTAAACTGTATGTTAATATTCTAGAAAGTTGGAGAAACTTCATATTTCATTTCCTTGTCTATGGCAAAAAAGTCAGGTTTATTCCCCATAGATAACAATAAAGATTGGGAGATAAATAAAAGGCTAACCTGTAACATTAACTGAAAGCTTCCTTCACTGTTCGTTTCTATGTATAGAATTCAATATTATTTAGTCTAATAAAAATCTCCATCAGGATACTACGCTCATCATCCTGCAGTATATTTAAAGGCTTGGAGTAATAAATTGTAGCTTTGTCTTCGGGGGTTAGTTCCTGATTTCCTTCTAACTTTCTAAAATGATTGTTTGATATTTCAAATAGAGTCATATATACCTGAAACATTAAAGCAGAAAATTAAATAAAACAATTGAACCATTAAATGAACCATTCAAGCATAATACGCAGAAATCCTATATGAAGTTTAAGAAAAAATATCCATTGATAAATACTTCCCATTTATTAACTGTTATTAATACAAATTGGAAGTTGGCAAACAGTGGGTAATTCAAAAGGTAATATGCACTTAATTACAAGTCACATGGTCAGATGACATAGCAAAGGCAATCTATGCCTGGGGGTAGAAAACCTTACTGTTTGGAGTACTTCAACATTTCTATTAACAGTAAATTTACATAATAAGTCAGTTTTGGACTTCCTCTTAACCAGATGATCAAATACAGTTTTTTTTCAACATTGACAGAACCATTAAACTGGGTCAAGATGGAAACTTTAGAACAAAAAGCATCTGTACACAATGAAATTAGTTGAACACTTTAAAAATTCTATTGTTTCTTTGAGCAAAATTATCTTCAAATAATTACATTAAAGTAGGTGTACAACATCAATTCATATATCTTTGAAGTTTTTGGGATCTACTTTGAAAACTGTAGGAAAAGTTTGGAACCTTCGTTTTTCTGAAAATTTCCAAGAGTGAAAAAAGGGACTTAAATCATCAAACAATTTCAGCAGGTGCACATCTTCAAAATGTGTGCAATGTTTCTGCGAAGTTTCGTGGATCTGAGTTGTAACTGTAATAGGAGTTCATTACATAAATAGGTACCCACTTTTTCACACCTATCCTATCATCAGCCTGGCATCCAATCAACCAGGCATCATCATACTACAACTTAGATTTGGACTTTGTCCAACCCAACTGATCAACTGACAAAACACATAGTTTTTTTTCCAGCAGTCTTAGAACCATTAAAATAAGGTCAAGGACAACAAAATTATTACAGACAGAATCTTCGGAGCATATGTCATCTGTATTCAATCAATGTTCACACAAATTGTTAGAAAATGAATTGCATTTTGTTTTAGAGTGCCCTCTTTATATTTCACCAAGATTAGAATTCTTAGAAAATTTATTTCAAATGTTTACAAATCTGAGAAACATTAATTTAGAAAATCTTTTTATCTGGATCATGACAAGTGAAGATTAAAATTTTAAAACAGTTTTTATAGTCTGTATCTAAATAAAATTTTCCAGATAAGACAGGAAAAAAGAGGTACAAGTTAAGGTGAACAAATAGAGTTATCCCTCTTTGTACTGGCTATCTTCCCTCATGTATATACCATATTTGTTCTTAAACTGAAAGTAGCTACAATTTTCATTAAAATTATTTTTTTTAAAATTTATCCTAGGTTTTGTACAAACTAGTATACATTAAACCATCACTGTTTACTTCCCATTTAGCATTTAGAAGCTTTTTAGTGTTTTATACCTGAAATTAATTTTTGTATACCAGTAGCTACTATCCATTTAATAATTTATGTATGTTATACTGCATGTTTGTGTGTTGTTTGTGTGGATATTGTATGAACTTTGTGATATGTATTGATTTATATTATATGCCCTATATGAGCCCTTTAATTGGGAATATGAAGAAATTTGATTTTTACAATGTATGAATTTCCTGGAGTGTCTGCCTTCTGAAATATTAAGTTTTATGGATAAAGCTTTCACCGTCACTGCTGTCAGATTAGCATTCCTATGTCTCCCATTATGCAATTTCTGACATTCCTAGAACAGGTGAGACAAAAAATTCCAAATACTGATTTACTAGGAGTAAATATGAACCCACATTATACCACACCTACACATTGAGAGAGTCAGAATAAGATTGAAAGAAGTTCTAGCTCAAAAGGTTATCATCCATAGGGAAAGTATCAAAGTAATAACATTTGGCTTAAAACTGGATACTATTCCTTTACAATGAGTTTATTATAACTTCCTTGACTGATCTGGGATATCTGACAGCTTAAAGATAGAGACGATTTTTTTACTATCCTTTTCAGAATAATTCAATTGAATTTGATATAAATAGAATGACAATCTAAAATTAATTACTGTGAATTTAGAAATCATTGCAAGGTTTTTTATTATTGTGAATAATGCGACTGATTTCTGATACATATATATGTTTTCTGAATTTACAGTAACAAAAATCTACAATGTCTACTGTAAAAATATTATCAGAAAGAATAACTTTGAACTTCTAGAAACATAACTGTACTGATTATTATTTTTTTTTATTACCACTTAATTTTCGTGGATATATGATTTTTGTGGTTTGTAAAAGTTGTATACTAGACTATAGAAAATTCATACTTCATGGTTTCCCTATACCCACAAAATCAAAGAAACTTGTTACCCCACATATAATATGGAATCCACAGTAGTTCAAAAATACCTTTGTTCCGTCTACTATCATTCCAGGCATAGTCAGGATTGGAGCATCAACACTTCTATGACATTCATACAAATCTAAGAGTAATTCTCCAGCATGCTGACCTAAAACTTCCTTATTCAAATCAATCTCTATACTTGGAATACTTCCATCATAACTTTCATTACTTGATAATGAGCTGCATGAATTGCTTAAGTGAGTACTTTCCATTAGCCTTAGTTGCATTTCTAACTCCTCAGGATCTTTAATAAAATCTTTCTTTACCTACAAATAAAATCAGAACTAATCACAACTACAAGATACTCAAGAAAGAGCACAATGGCAGAAAAAGCTGCCTTTTTTCTTTTTAATATAACAAGAAAGAGTGCACATGCTGAAATGTCACTAATTTTACTTATGATTGAATTTATATTGAAAATCTGTAATATGAGGGTTTTACTACAAGTATCACATAAACTTAACATCATCAATGATTTAACAATGCCAGACAGACATGTAGACATGACAATCATTAAATACACGAAATATAGTGGTCCTATCGCTTATTCTACCAGAGAAGCAGATCAAACCACCAAATTGTAACAATGACCAATGAACCATGAAAATGAGGGCACGGTCATATGAACCCTGCCAGAAAGACATGTACACTCTATAATCATTCCATACAAAAAATATAGTTGACCTGATGCTTAGAATATCTGATAAACTGACAAATCCACTAAAACTTATCCTTGACCAATGAACCATGAAAGCTGGGTCAAAGTCATATGAACCATGATAGACAGACATGTAAACCTTACAATCATTCCATATACATAAAAGAACAGAGTTCCAATGTCCCCCACATTGCACATTTTTTATCTGTTCAAGGTCAATAACTAAAAAAAAATTTATTTGGTTTTGTAAAACTTTTTGAAATTATCTTAGAGAGTTGAAGACTTATAAGAGCAATTTCTGATATATCTAATATTTCCATATTGAAATTGTCTGTGAAATTGCTGTTATCAACCTTTCATATGAATTTGATAAAAACCTGGCAAAAATTATAAATGTGAGAGTGATAATTACAATGGAATTTCCATATGATTAATATATCTAAGGGGCTTAACTCTTTTAAAAATAATTGATCGGCACTGATTTTAAACTTTTTCTAGACATTGCTGTTATAAACCTTTGATATAAGTTTCATAAAAATCTGGCAAGAATTGTACACATGAGAGCACTAATATTGCAATATTCAAAATAATTAATATTTCTAAGGGCCATAACTCTTTTAAAAAATATTGATCAGCACTGATTTTCGAACTAGTCCAAGACATTGCTGATATAAATATAAGTTTCATAACAATCTGGCAAGATTTGTACACATGAGAGGGCGAACGATGCAATTTTCCTTATAATTAATGTTTCCAAGGGGCATAACTCTTTAAAAAATTATTGATCAGCATTGATTTTCAAAGTCGTCCGAGACATTGCTAATATAAACCTATGATATAAGTTTTATAAAAATCTGGCAAGAATTGTTAGTGTGAAAGCACTAACAAGACTGGACAGACGGACGAATGGATGCCTGGTATTTCTATGTCCCCTGCAATGCATTGCGCGGGGGACAAAAATATAGGGGCCCTTTTGTTTAAAGTATATTATATATATGAGAATTATACGAAACCATGAAAACTAAACATTGTCCAATGAACCATGAAATTGAGGTCACGATCAGATGAAACCCACACTTAGATATGTACTCCTTACAATTATAACGAATTATTCCATACGCAAAATATAGTTGACCTATTGCTTAAAGTATTTGAGATACAGACCTGACCCCTAAAACTCAACCTTGGTCACTGATTCATGAAATGACTAAAAGGACAAGTTACAGCGTCACCATGGTTGTAATCCCTGTCTCTCATATCCTGCAACTTGCACCACAGGCGAGACAAAAATAAAGAGATCATATTGGTGATCCTATGGGATTATTTGGTAGAATGAAATTTAAGTGTTAAAAATGTCTAGACATTTTTGCAAAAAGTTTTGATAGTTTGATTATTCAATATCCAGCAAATATATATTTCACTTATAAATCAAAGGACTCAGCTATATTTGGATGCATTTATCTATTCAAATCCTGAAAATTTATTCTGACATGTTGTCAATAGTTTGGATTTTGACCCAATTTTGTGAAATGGAGCTTTGTTAAATTTTACTGTAGCATATTATCCAAATGGTTACTATTCTCTATAACAGTCCTTATAAGACCCCTAACATTTAGATTTACCATGAAACATTGTTTTGCATCTGAACTTTAACTATACTTTAAAGCACTGAAAAAATACAACTGGAAACAAGAACTATTACCTTACCTTAACGGACACAACCATTTCACTTGTTCTCACTTCAGGTTTTGTCATAATTCCATGTTTGTACAAGCGTATAACAGGCTTAGAGACAACTCTATTTATTCCATGAAGATTTTTCCAGACAGCTTCATCTTCTTTAGATATAGAAATTCTGAAAAAAAATCAATTCTGCATAAATACTAAAAATTCATAAATGGTTTTACGGAAGCCTGCGTCTCACCAGCAATTGCTGCTGTCAGTGTAAAAGTGTAATATTGGCAGAAAACTAAGTACGGCTTTCAGTAAAATTCTAGAATGTGAAAAAAATAAATTTTATTAATTTTGATTCAGACATATACATTATCATTGCTTATATAATCACAAAATCATTTCTGTCACAGTTTTATAAAATTCTATTAAGGTCTGACAAAATTATTGATATCTAAAAAACAATGACAGAATATACATGATGTCATGGATGTAGGATTGCAATAATATATTTTGTCTATCTGTTTATTTGGTAATGAATCCTGATAAGTATTAACATTGTATTCAATAGCAGAAATTAATTCCTGGACAAATAAAAAGCATCTGTATTTTCAAATGTCTGAGTGATGCATTGTTTAGGGCCTATCATGCCTAGGATACAGTAGCAAGGGCAGATAATATTAATGCATTCCTACTTAAGTCCTTGTTTTTGCAAAATCATAAGCCTATAAAATTTGCAGAAAATCACAAACTAGATTGAGGCTCTCAAGAGCCTGTGTCGCTCACCTGTATTTACTGATGCTTTGGAAATCATGTAAAATAAGGTTAAAATCATAATTAATAGTATTAGATATTAGGATAGATACTATAATGATATCTAAGATAATAACAACTAGAGGCTCTCGAAAGCCTGTGTCGCTCACCTGACTCTACTTTGGTTTTAGAAATCATGTAAAGATAGATAAAAATCATAACAGATACCCAAATAATGATTGAGGCCAAATTTTGATTAATATTGGTCCCGTTATTTAATAAAATATCCTGGTGGCCATCTTGAACAGTAAATCGGCAACAAAGTAGCAACACTTGGTCAGCACTTCATAAGGAACATTCATGCCATGTTTGATTTCATTCCATTCAGTGGTACTCTAAAAGAAGACATTTGTATGTATTTCCCATAGGGTCCTATGTTAAACTAAGCCCCCCGCTGGCGGCCATCTTGGATGATGGATCGGCTACAAAGTAACAACACTTGGTCAGCATCTCATAAGGAAGATTCATGCCATGTTTGGTTTCATTCCATTCAGTGGTTCTCTAAAAGAAGACATTTGTATGTATTTCCCATAGGTCCTTTGTTAAACTAAGTCCCCTGCTGTCGGCCATCTTGGATGATGGACCGACTGCAAAGTAACAACACTTGGTCAGCACCTCATAAGGAACATTCATGCCATGTTTGGTTTCATTCCATTCAGTGGTTCTCTAAAAGAAGACATTTGTATGTATTTCCCCCGCTGGCGGCCATCTTGGATGATGGATCGGCTACAAAGTAACAACACTTGGTCAGAACCTCATAAGGAAGATTCATGCCATGGTTGGTTTCATTCCATTCAGTGGTTCTCTAAAAGAAGACATTTGTATGTATTTCCCATAGGGTCCTATGTTAAACTAAGTCCCCCGCTGGCGGCCATCTTGGATGATGGACCGACTGCAAAGTAACAACACTTGGTCAGCATCTCATAAGGAACATTCATGCCATGTTTGGTTCCATTCCATTCAGTGGTTCTCTAAAAGAAGACATTTTTATGTATTTCCCATAGGGTCCTATGTTAAACTAAGTCCCCCGCTGGCGGCCATCTTGGATGATGGATCGGCTACAAAGTAACAACACTTGGTCAGCACCTCATAAGGAACATTCATGCCATGTTTGGTTTCATTCCATTCAGTGGTTCTCTAAAAGAAGTCATTTGTATGCATTTCCCATAGGGTCCTATGTTAAACTAAGTCCCCGGCTGGCGTCCATCTTGGATGATGGATCATCTACAAAGTAACAACACTTGGTGAGCACCTCATAAGGAACATTCATGCCATGTTTGGTTTCATTCCATTCAGTGGTTCTCTAAAAGAAGACATTTGTATGTATTTCCCATAGGGTCCTATGTTAAACTAAGTCCCCCGCTGGCGGCCATCTTGGATGATGGACCGACTGCAAAGTAACAACACTTGGTCAGCATCTCATAAGAAACATTCGTGCCATGTTTGGTTCCATTCCATTCAGTGGTTCTCTAAAAGAAGACATTTGTATGTATTTCCCATAGGGTCCTATGCTAAACTAAGTCCCCCGCTGGCGGCCATCTTGGATGATGGATCGGCTACAAAGTAACAACACTTGGTCAGCACCTCATAAGGAACATTCATGCCATGTTTGGTTTCATTCCATTCAGTGGTTCTCTAAAAGAAGTCATTTGTATGCATTTCCCATAGGGTCCTATGTTAAACTAAGTCCCCCGCTGGCGGCCATCTTGGATGATGGATCGGCTACAAAGTAACAACACTTGGTGAGCACCTCATAAGGAACATTCATGCCATGTTTGGTTTCATTCCATTCAGTGGTTCTCTAAAAGAAGACATTTGTATGTATTTCCCATAGGGTCCTATGTTAAACTAAGTCCCCCGCTGGCGGCCATCTTGGATGATGGACCGACTGCAAAGTAACAACACTTGGTCAGCATCTCATAAGGAACATTCATGCCATGTTTGGTTCCATTCCATTCAGTGGTTCTCTAAAAGAAGACATTTTTATGTATTTCCCATAGGGTCCTATGTTAAACTAAGTCCCCCGCTGGCGGCCATCTTGGATGATGGATCGGCTACAAAGTAACAACACTTGGTCAGCATCTCATAAGGAACATTCATGCCATGTTTGGTTTCATTCCATTCAGTGGTTCTCTAAAAGAAGTCATTTGTATGCATTTCCCATAGGGTCCTATGTTAAACTAAGTCCCCCGCTGGCGGCCATCTTGGATGATGGATCGGCTACAAAGTAACAACACTTGGTCAGCACCTCATAAGGAACATTCATGCCATGTTTGGTTTCATTCCATTCAGTGGTTCTCTAGAAGAAGTTCAAAATGTAAAAAGTTAACGCCGACGACGGACGACGCCGGACGACGACGGACGACGGACGCCAAGTGATGAGAAAAGCTCACTTGGCCCTTCGGGCCAGGTGAGCTAAAAAACTGCAAAATTTCTGTAAAATTACTAACTCAGGGGAGCAACCCAACAACGGGTTGTCGGATTCGTCTAAAAATTTCAGGGCAGATAAATCTAAATCTGATGAACATTTTTGCCGCCTGTAAAATTTGCTCTAAATGCTTTAGTTTCAGAGATATAAACCAAAAACTGCATTTTACCCTATGCTCTATTTTTAACCATGTCTGCCATGATGGTTGGAAGGCGGGGTCATCGGACAAATTTTTAATGATTATTAGTATGGTTAAATTTGTTTCAGTAGTTTCAGAGAAGAAGATTTTTGTAAAAGATTACAAAAATTTACGAAAAAATGTTAAAAATTGACTATAAAGGGCAATAACTCCTAAAGGGGTCGACTGACAGTTTTGGTCATCACAACTTATTTGTAGATCCTACTATGCTGAACATTATTGCTGTTTACAGTTTATCTCTATCTATAATAATATTCAAGATAATAACCAAAAAACTTCAAACTTTCCTTAAAATTACCAATTCAGGGGCAGCAACCCAAAAAACGGGTTGTCAGATTTGTCTGAAAGTTTCAGGGCAGATAGATCTTGACCTGATAATCAGTTTTACCCATGTCAGATTTACTCTAAATGCTTTGGTTTCAGAGATATAAGCCAAAATCTACATTTTACCCCTATGTTCTATTTTTAGCCATGGTGGCCATCTTGGTTGGTTTGCAGGGTCACCGGACACATTTATTAAACTAGATACCCTAATGATGATTGTGGCCAAGTTTGGTTAAATTTGGCCCAGTGGTTTCAGAGGAGAAGATTTTTGTAAAAAGCTAACGACGACGGACGATGACGACGGACGACAGATGACGGACGCCAAGTGATGAGAAAAGCTCACTTAGCCCTTTGGGCCAGGTGAGCTAAAAACGCAGAAAAATCACTTATGTCATTGAATCTGCTATATGAGTTTTAAAGTATTTGTGAAGAAAAACAAAATACATATATGCAATTAAAGGGTAACAGAACACCTAAGGGATTTAACTCTTTAAAAATCAGCTTAACGTTTTAATCACATACTATTAGTTGAGTAATCAAGCTTCTCAAAGATCAAAATAAGTGTTTGTCAAACTGCTATATTGCTTAATGATGTGAAACAAAAGATAAATTCTGTTTGTTATGTATTATCTATTGTATTATGATTAAAGTAATATTAGTAAAGTTAAATTGCAAACTTTCATTTGCTTGGAATAAGTAATTTTAACGATATATTTAATTCTATTTGGTTGTACATTGTACACGCAATGAAACTGATTAGCGTTATATTTAAATGTGTCACAGAAACCGGTTTATTAAAGTACATGTGACATGTGATGCACATTTCACTTCACAAATGAATGAATGAACATTCCATAGTAAACGTGTACCTAATGTTTAGTGTAACACTTTGGTATTATTAATTGTTTAAACCTCATTATAATTGTCTGTGATATAATATATGAGTAAGATCATATTACTGTAAAGTCAGAAATTATTGCGATGTTTTTATTATTGCGAAAAATGTGACAGGGTTATAAACGCAATAATTTAAACTCGCATTTTGAAATTGGGTATATGAATTAAACAGGATTTTTCTCAAAATTGCAAAAATTAAAATCGCATTTTAATCTTAAATGACAAAATCGCAATAATAAATGCACGCAATAATTTCAAAATTTACAGTATTCTATGTTATACTGAACTATTATTAATGAATATGATCTTGTTATTTCAGAGTTTTTCAGATTCTCTGGTAATAAACCATGCATTTAGCAAGTCTCCTTTATTATTTATACCCGAAGACATTAACTCAAATATTTGCCATTTTTAATTCAAATTTTTTTTGTTCATTGGCTACTATTTACAATCAAATGTACAATTGATTTGTCGCAACTAAGGATGAGATATTATCTAAATTTGAAGCGTACAAGTAATGGAATATTCTTCAGCTTGAGAGTTTTCATTCGTATGACGTCATGTTTTGCAATGAGGTTGATGCGCCAAGATAATTCATGAAATTTCACAGAATTTTATTTTAATTTATACATTTCAAGCTTTAATACATTAGAATATAAATAACAGTTATGGATTTGTTTTCAATCTAGGCTCAGTCTGCTTGGAACCCGTGGATCCCATATGCATGCATGTGTATCACTCATGAATAGGTCTGCAACATGGTCTATCGAAGTGGAAACCAAGGGAAAAACATCTAACGGTCCAATCCAATTTAAGTATTTGTAGATAAGCAAATCATATAAGAATTATCTGCCCATGTTTTTTGTTTGTTTGTTGATGTTGCTTTATACAGGTATGAAATGTGAACTTACTCTGGATGTAAACAACACATCTCAGCAAAACTGGCTAGTAGCTTGATGAAACTTCCTTCATAAACTTGTTTATGATTACTTATCTTCCCCACAAGATTTGTTAATACTCTTAGAAACTTCATTACTTTCAGTCTAACAAACCTGCAAAAAAAAAAAAAAAAAAAACAATAAACAAACTACTCATATCTCCATATTCTAATGACCATCATGAATTAACTATGAATGGTGTATTTTTAAGCTTAAATTTACTAGCTTACCAGTAACTCAAATGTTTTCCTTTGCACAAAATCACTGTGTATGTCAACTTTACACTGTACTCTACATTCTACCTGTACTAACTACTTGTCACCATTTCCAGACATTATATGATCTAGTTCTGACTGAATGTATAAACTATTTGTAAAAAAACAGAAATACTCTAGCAACATGAGCAATTTGAATCTTAATTATTTTGGCAGAGAATTAGTAGATATTTCTCCTCTTATTCCATTAATCTACTATTTTATTACCTTACTGATTGATATTTTAGTTTGGGAAACATGATTTATTAATTAGTCTTAATCACTGATAATTGGGTTTGAAGTAGCTTTCAAAAACTACAAGTACCTACTCAATACACTAGTACTTTGATTGGTACATTTTGTACTTTGTGCCCAATAGTAGTTTTGTTAGTTGTTTTTTGTGTTATGTGTCTATCTGATGGAATGGAGCCTTTTTCGACTGATTTTTGTAGTTTTTTCTTATGTTGTGCTGTCACACCAGTGTCCAAGGTAACTTTTAACCCTGCCATATTCTGTATGTGCCTGTCTCAAAGTCAGGAGCATAAGTTCAGTGGTTGTCATTGGTTGTTGTCTTGTTTGTTTTATGTATACATGTATTGTTAAGTACATATATCAGATGGTAAGTTTTCTCATTTAGATTGTTTTACATTTTGTGCCTTTGATAGCTTAAAATGTGGGAATTCTATACACTTCGTAACCGAGACAAATTGGCACTTGGACAATTCTGCATTTGTGAAAGACATTTCGGCACCAGAGAAAGACAGTTTGGTATTAAGACAAATCAGCACCTTATAAAGCTACTATGTTTATATTCCATTGTTAAGTTTTCAGACCTTATTATTAACAACTACTTCTGTGGCCACAGTGGCCTGATACAGATATTAGTTTTCTTAGATTTAATACATGTCTCCTGTTTTGGAAATTTTGTGTAATTATTTGGATTAGTCTGGGACTAATACATTGATAGCATAATTCCCAAGGTCAGTAGAAGAAAATGCTTTGTATTTTTCTCTCTCTCTCTCTCTTTTTTTTAGCACTCAGACTACATTATTATAAATATAAAAATTTTCATCATGAAAAATATCACTATTACATGCACTTCTAAAATTCTTATATTCGCCTTACATTGTGAAAGTATAGGAAATTCTGAAGTGTTGACAATTTTATGATGGTCTGGGGTTTTACTCAATATGCCTGCAAGCACTTTAAGTTATGGCTTGAAATTCAAAAACAATAAAATATAGTTTACAGGTATATTGTCATGTTTCTTGTCTTTAGAATTGTGAGGATAAACTGGTAACCCAAGCTGCAAACACAAGCTCTACACTTTTGATCTTTATTGAAAAATTATCAAAACTCATTATAAACTTACATAACATATTGATTGTTGCATTTACTTCTATCATTTATGATTTGATTAAATATGTTTATTCAAACACAATCACATTTTGTATTGAATATTTTATGTAAGGAATTTAATATCATTATAAAAATTCTTGTTTTACAGTATTGTCAAATCGTTTTTAGTTATTATTTTTTCTTAACATTTAATGATAACAGGAAAATATAGAGATAAAAAATGAGGTGCCAATTTGTCTTGGTCCAGAAATGTCCGGATGCTGAAATGTCTGAAAAGGTGCTGATTTGTCTTGGTCCAGAAATGTTCGGATGCCGAATTGTCTGAAAAGGTGCCCAATTGTCTTTGGAACAAGGTGCTGAAATGTCTTTTGCTGAAGAGTCTTGTTACCACTACATTTGTACATGTACATGTATGTGGTATTTGTTTCCTCATCATGCTCACTGTTAAAGGCTGTACAGTGACCTATAGTTGCTTATATCCAAATTATTTGGTCTCTGGTGGATAGTTGTCATATTGGCAATCATACCACATCTTCATATTATTATCCGGAAAATTTGATGTCATAAATCAAATATCTTTACATCACAATGACCTATGACATATTTCCCTCCAAATGACCCGGACAGCCCCGATATTCTGACACCCCATTAGTCTAACACCCCAATGGTCTGATGCCCTGATAGTCAGACACCGAATAATTGAACAATATCGTTTTATATTAGAAAGCCTGAAACATGTTTATTTAATACTACAACTGTGTTTAGAACCGAATGATATGTTAATCAACTGATACAAGTAATCAAGGCAGGTTGGTAGACATGTATTAATTTTGTTAAAATTTTGGGAAATATTCAACAATACAACATATGGAATGATCGATTGCCAACCACGTTGTCTTGCACGACTGAACTAGAGGTTCTTAAGAGCCTGTGTCGCTCACCTTGTTCTATGTGCATATTTAACAATTGACACTCTCCAACATTGTAGAAGAGAATAGAATTCATGACAAAAATCTCTGTTTTGTTGATCTTGGATTGCTGATCATTTACATGTAGTCTGTTTAGTTTCTCTCTATCTTCTTTAGTTTTTGTTCAAAACACAAAAGAAGGTAAAAAATCCTCATTTAAGGGCAATCACTCCTATAAAGAGTGACAGTCTAATATTAACTATATCGGCAAAATTTGACTTGTTAGTAGATCTTGCCTTGCTGATCATTTTTAGGATTTAAAATGTCTATTTACTTATTATAATTTTTATCATATAAGGCAAAGCACAAAAAAATGGTAACAATCGTCATTAAAGGGCAATAACTCCAATAAATAGTCTTTGGACAATTTCCTCCATATTGCCTAAATTGTAGGTCTTGTCTTGCTGTTTAAAGTTTCTATCAATTATAATTTTAAAGATATAAGGCAAAAATGCAAAAAAGTGGTAAAATCGTCATCAAAGGGCAACAACTCTAATAAGGAGTCGACTGACGCTTTTGATCATGAGGACTTATTTGAAGAGCTTGTTTTGCTGATCATATTTGCAATTTAAAGTTTCTCCCTATCTATTATATAGTTTTCAAGATAATAGGCATAAATGAAAAAATTGGTAAAATTTGTCATTTAAGGGCAATAACTCCTGAAGTCGTCTGACAGTTTTGACTTTTATGAACAATTGGTAAAGCTCAACATTTTGAACATTATTGCCCTATTCAGATTTTCTCTATTTATCATTGTTTATAACAGTTTTCAAAATAATAGACAAAATTGCATTTTACCCCTATGTTCTATTTTTAGCCATGTCCGCCATCTTGGTTGGCAGGCAGGGTCATCAGACACATTTTTAAAACTAGATACCCCAATGATGATTGTGGCCAAGTTTGATAAATTTGGCCCAGTAGTTTCAGAGAAGAAGATTTTTGTAAAAGTTACATTGTCGGAAAATGGACGCCAAGTGATGAGGAAAGCTCACTCTCGGGCGTTGTCGGGCCAGGTGAGTTAAAAACGAGTACCATCAATCTCTTAACTACAGTGAACATTTTGTCAAACTAGAATATGATTTGTGAAGTTTTGTTGAATTACTTGCAAAGCAGAGAATTAAGAAAGTTAAGGCTCTAATGCCATCCAAATAGAACTCTGTAAAATTTGACGCATTCTTCGAAAGGAATCAACTTTGACTATATGAGTTCACAACAACAATATATGAGCTGGTTAATAGTAATAATGTCAACAATTAAATTGGGTAATCAAATTAATAAGGGGCCTCAGTGGCCGAGTGGTCTAAGTAGTTACTACTGTAATCACTAGCCAGTCAACACTGAGGTTGTGAGTTCAAACCCCGCTCGTGTGGGTGAACTTGACTCCAATCTTAATTGACTAGGATTGTCAGTTTTCCTATCGAAGGTAGGTGGTTTTCTCCGGCTTCCTCCACCAATAAAAACTGGCCGCCACGAAATAGCCCAAAAGCGGTGCTTAAAAGTGGCATTAAAACACCAAAAATCAAATCAAATTAAATTAATAATTTATCATTTTCTAGACATCTAACAATCGGGGAGATCAGATGAATATGAAGTTCTGTATGAAATTTGAGTGTTGCTGTGCAATAAACCACTTCTGACATTTGTCTGATCTTCATTTGATCTTAGTGGATCAACCGCGTATACCTCTATGTATTTCTCTAGTGACTGTATAATTAATTCATAGGAACATGTCAGTATGCCATATTTATGAAGCTAGAGCAGACAAGTTTAGGAAAAAACTAATAGAAAAATTAAACGATATGAAGCAAAGGCTAACTCTTTTGTAATTAGGGCACTAAGACAAATTCAAAGAAAGCTTATTTTGATATGTACAATGCAAATAAATTTAGGAATTTAAGATTGGACAATCTTCTCACAAAAAATATGTTATATTGTCAAAGTAAAAGGCTGTTCATTCACATGCACTAAGTCTTGTCTCTGAAAAAAAAAGACCTACATGTACAATGTATATGTATATAGGTGAAAAAAAAATTCAGAGACAAGTGCCTGTGTATACATCAGTTATTGTGACATACCATACATCCAAGTGCCAACTATTAAATCTCTGTAAAAATATAACAAAATTGTCCCTCAAACTGGCAAAGATAAATAATGTACATGGAAAAGACGAAAGAGAACAACAAATTGTTTTAAAATTTGTACCTGCTACTTAAACAACACTTTATAAAGCTAAAGGCTTTTCTGGATTTACCTTCACTAGGAACACTCAAAGCCAAATATCTGAAAGCCAAGTATATTTATAAGTAAGACTGGGTGCAACAAAGTTGGAAATACAATGTAAAATGCACCTTAATATCTGACTCAGCGTATCAGTCTGTATAACGCTCTGACATCTGACAGCCTTTTTATTATTTGTTGGGCCGTAAGACCAATCTTCATGATCTTGGACTAGGTGTCTTTATGCCAATGTGTTGGTACCCTAAATATAAGTGAAATATTTGATGTTTGACGTTAAACCGCCACTAAAAAATCTCATATTTTCTTTCATAGTATGTAAAATCGTTTAAGAATAAACAGTTATTTAGCTAAATATCAATCCTTACAAAATCTGTGATTATTTGGATAGAATGAAGTTAGAAATTAAGTCAGTTTCAAATTTAGAAAAATCACATATCAACTAAATGATAATATGGATAATGACTGTTAATATAGAGATTTTAGGAAAAAAGAAAAATGAAAAATAATTTTAATTAAGACTGTTTTTAAAATGTATATATAAGGCAATATCAAGGATAGAATTTGAATTGATTTGTACAGGAATGGACCCAAACAGCTCTGACACAGAAACAATCTTTTTGTCAAGAAATGAAACAAACTTTTCCTTATATGCTGGTCAAAGTATTTTTAGATTTTACTTTGTGATAAAGCAAGGCATTTAGACATGATAATTAATCTGGTCATATAGGTGGGCAAGGAAGGGTTCATGTTTTCTTACCTTTTTTTATAAAAAAGATACATAATAGATCATGATTGATAGGTCATGCAAAGTCTTGTTTTTGTTAAAATTTGTTATTCCTAACTCTCATTACATTCCTGTGTGAATGTGACTCACTGTTGTTGGTTGTTAGAGTTTTTTTCATGCAACTTGTTTGCTTGTCACTGCTTGTGCTGGGCAATCCATTAAAATTTTGTCCGTTGATCAATTATTTGCAAACATGGCAAAGCGGAAAGAAACAACATCCGATTAGTTTTAAAGAGGAAAAATAAAACACAAATGGAAATAACAATGTACAGAAAAAGTGTTTGTCATTTTTTGAAAATGCAATTACAAATCTAATCCCTGATATATTAAAAGTACACTCCCATGACTATTCATACATGATTGATTACTTTATTTTTGTTTAATGTCCAGTGGCAAATGTTTCATGTACTTTTAATACAAGTTCATTCTGACAGCAAATTTCATCCATTTTATCAAGTTTCAACTTCAATTAAACCTTCAAATATCATCAATATATAGAACCAATTATCAGTGATTGAACAATTTTACTATTGACATTGATTGACATGATTGATGTTTAGAACAAACTTTTGAAGTCACAAATTTTCGATTTTATATTATCAATTTACTCAGTCATGAAAGTTTTCCAGGGGCGTAGCTGGACTTACATAAAGTGCAATCATAACTATTGCTGAGCGAAGGGAGGCGAACATTTTTTTTGGACCATTTTCCCGGTATGCCATGCTTATGAAATTCACATCACATTCACACCAAAACTCCTATTTTGTGAATACTGTGGACTTTATAGTGATTCGGCAAGGGAGGAGGCTATGGACCGCTCAAATTCCCCAGCTGGTCCAGGGTAGCACCCTAGTCGGGGATCCAGGGCAGCACCGTAGACGGTGGTCCAGGGAAGCGAATCCCCATGAAGCTCCGGGCATATAAGTAATTACAGTGACTGCTTTGAACATGAAAAATACCCTATCTGTTTCTTACTATACCATATTTTCAAGAAACGATAGTAAAAGTCTAGTGAGTTATGTAATTTGCTGCTTATATTATTAACTTGGTTATTTTCAAATATAAAAAAAAATTTATGAAACGGGAAGATCAGGAAGAGTCGACAACCAAAGCATTAATCAATGGACAATTGACAAACCCAGGAACAGATAAGACACAAAAGGAGAAACAAAAACATTCAACATTGAAAACTAAATACAGATGAAAAACACGGACCCAGAAAACAATGTGGCGACCTCCGGTGCTCCAAAAGGGTAAGCAGTTCCTACTTCTTGCAAGACACCCGTAGTGTGTCTCACGAAGGTCATTCTCAAATCAAAGGAGAGGTTTCTACAACAACGGTAGAAGGTCATTTGGGACACAGATACCCCAGGTGAATCAATAGTCTTTTGGACGAACGGACAATGGGAATACGAAATCTAACGGCCACTTTTAAGTCTTGACTTATAAGTAAGGGATATAAATCTAAGATGTTTTCAAGGTGATTGTATTGAGCTTGTATTATTAAATGTTTATACTGCATGTAAGACTTAAAGTATAGTTAATATCAAAAGTCCATATATCTATTTTTTGCCAAGGTAAATGATCGCAGAACTCTCTCGGTGTTGATATCCATTTCTTTGTGAACATGTATGAGTGCAAACGAAGATAGTCTGTCCTGTGTGTACCATGGTTGAACGGAGATAAGTTTTCGGTCGCCTTAATGCACTAAATGACCGTTCAGTAGTTGATTTAGTTACTGGCATTGTAACTAGAATTGAGAAGATTGTGAATATTGAAGGATATATAGTTCCTTATTAGTCACTGCTACAGACGACATCAGAGATTTGGGCTTTAAACACGGCCGACACGATAATCTGTAAAGACTAAAGACTATCCGTAATTCAATTTTAGAATTTTTTTTTGTTTTTTTTTGTGAAAAAAATGTGCAAGCAAATGATTTTTTGCGTAAAGGCAGTTATGCGCCTGTTTTCGATCTACAAGTTGGTGTACGGTGTAGATGAACAGAAATGATCATGCCTGGTGTAAGACTAATGAGGTGTTGGACTTCTGGGGCAGTTCATTAAAAAAACCAAATTGGAATCTTGTGTATTATCAGACATGTACATAAATAAACTTACTCCTCGGGTTCTCTCTTTCCCAAGTTGTTAGAAATCTGATCTAAAACTGTCATGAACTTCTCTGGATAGTATTTAAATCTATCCATAGTTGCAATTCTACCGTCGATAGGAAGTAAATATTCATTCACTTTTTCAAAGTAGTCACGTTGCTCATTGGTCATCTCATCCATTTTTATATTACTGAACATATCCGATGGGGACTCCATGTAATCATCTTGGTAGTAAATCTGCAAATTCTTCTCCAAATCATTTCGTTCCCATCTGCATACCCATGGATCCAATGATGGCTCTGCATCTAAACTAGACGAGCTCGATCTCAAAGAATAAAGAGGTTCTGATGCGACTGCTGACACACAAGATATATCATCAAGTGACATTATGTACGTGAGCTTTTAAAAAGGACGCGTGAAGTAAATTTTAGAACCTTTTCTAACAGGGAAATATATAAGTAAGGGGAAGGAAATCAATGAAAATATGATTGGAAGATCTTATTCAAATCTCTTATAAATATCCTCCGTTATTTGGATCACCTCTCGAGAACTGCGAGGGTACAATAGAATCCGTGCACACTCCCTATCATAAGTAACGCTTATTCTGTAAAATTTTCATGAAAGTGATTTGACTATTATATTTTTCTGTAGTTATATGATTTCTTTATTCTGTACATCGTTCATTTCAGTAATCAGTATTTTATAATGGTTACCTTATTCTTATATTTTCAACGGCTTTTCTTTATTCGTTTGCTCCGAATTTTTACTCATTACTCTCTATTCATATTTTTTGCCATTTTTCTCTATTCTGTAAACCCAAACCTTCTTTGACAAAAAAGTTCTCACAATTATTTTTGTATGGTTCTTTGAATATCTGGGATTATTCAATGTATCAGTCCCAGTTGAATATCTATCACTTTTTTTTAACATACGGTTGTCCGTGTATTCTTTTACTGGTTTAAGTTCCCATAAAAACTGGCGGCCTAACACCCGATTATATTTCTCTCGATTAAATATGTTTTTACACATCTCAGTGTGTAAAATAATGAGGTAGAAGCAAAACGAAGATAATTCTTATCTTGATAAAGGTAAATATAAATAAGAAGATGTGGTATGAGTGCCAATGAGACAACTCTCCATACAAGTCACAATGTATAAAAAGTTAACAATTATAGGTCAAAGTACAGCCTTCAACACGGAGCCTTGGCTCACACCGAACAGCAAGCTATATAGGGCCCCAAAATGACTAGTGTAAAACAATTCAAACAGGAAAACCAACGGTCTAATCTATGTAAAAAAACGAAAAACGAACAAACACTTATGAACCACACCAACAAACGACAACCACTGAACAACAGACTCCTGACTTAGGACAGGTGCATACAAATGCAGCGGGTTTAAACGTTTGAACAGGAGCCAACCTTCACCCTAACCTGAGACAATAGAGTAACATTATAACATAAAAAGACACATCACAAAATATCAATTGAAATGGCTTAACTCGATCAAAAAGACATTTAAACAAAAACAAGTAAACATACACCGAACGCATAAGTTCGATCTAGGACACAATATAAATACAATATTAAAACGTAGGTGCCTATATAATATAGACGTTACAGGTAGTAAAAAAAGAGATGTAGGAACCCTTTATAGTTAATTTTGTTTATGTCCGTAGCCTTATTGATGAATAGTTATTTCGAAATGACACTCGTACATTCACGTATGTTTATGTAGTCAAACCATGCAACACGTTGAGTGTAATAATTACATCATTAAAACATCAAGAGCAACCAAGAAAAAGATATGCCATGGCATTCGCGGCTTTTCTGATAAAATAATGTTTTTCAAATAAAGAAGAGGTGACTTAATATGACGAAAAATAAAGGCAACAGTAGTATACCGGTGTTCAAAAGTCATAAATCGATTTAGAGAAAACAAATCTGGGTTACAAACCAAAATCGAGGGAAACACATCAACTATAAGAGTAAAACAAAGGAACAACAGGAACACCGAAGTGCAACAAAAACAAACGCCAACACACATAGAAACGAGCTATTTGATAACAACTGCCATATTCCTGACTTGGTACAGGACATTTTAAGAAAAAAATGGTGGGTTGAACCTGGTTTCATGTCATGCCAAACCTCCCGCTTTATGACAATGTTAAAAAATACCGCTAAAACACTACGTGACAGAAATACAGCACAAAAACACGCAAGAACATTCATAACAGAGAAACGCACAAACAAATACTATAATAGTCGACACAACATTTTGACTACAAACGATAAGACATGACAGATTATCCAACCTAAACCATAACAGAAACAACAAAATAAATCCATTAATGTTGGATGTACAAAACACCGAGACACGCCGCACAGCAATGTAAATTCACATTCAGTATAACAGTCACATTCGGGAATATGACAATGATGGTACTGTATGGCAATTTTATAATTATTTGGACAACAAACGATACGACATAACATATTATTCAACCGAAACCATAACAAAAACATAAAAAAAACATGAATGTTGGATGTACAAAATACCGAGACACGTCGTATAGCAATGTAAATTCACTCTCGGTATAACAGTCATATTCGGGATTAGGTCACGTTCGGTACTTAGCAGACAGACGACAAAGATGTTAAACCACAATCTATGACGTTGTAAAAATGTCATTACTTAGTTTAGACACAGACACATCGTATAGATGAACCAATTCATGATGGTGTTCATAAAATTTACGGAGTGTCATTTTTAATCTTTCCTCCTCATAACTCTGTTGGAGCAGTTTCTGTGTAAGGAGCACACACCTGTATATGAAGTCAGTATAGTGTGAACATGCACGAGCATAACGTATCAATTGAGATATGCACACACCATACGATGGAGCAGAGGGTATGTTACTGATGAGAAATGGGAAATTGATAATTGGGAAGTTGAAATCATCCCGCTTGTCATAGATTTTAGTGTGAAGTCGTCCATCTGTGTCAATATTGAGGAAAATATCTAGGTATGAAGCAGTCCTTCTTGTATCAGTAGTATCCTTAATTTCAAGTACACTGGGATATATGAGATGCAAGTACTGACTGAAATATGGGTTATTCAGTGATAGGACATCATCAGTATATCTGAAAGTAAAATTAAAGAACTTTGCAAGGTGCTTTTTCTTTTTGTCTTTAAGAAGGTTTTGAATGAATTCTGCTTCATACGAGTTCAAAAACAAGTCGGCCAGAAGGGGTGCACAATAAGTACCCATTGGAATGCCGACTGTCTGTTGAAATATCAATCCTCCAAACTCAACAAATATATTGTCGATTAAAAAGTCCAGCATTGTTATTGTTTTATGCTCTCTAGGAACATCGTAATAGATGCAAGAGAAATATAAATAATATAACCTAAATTAGATTATTGTATTATGTTCTAGAGGAATACCAAAATAAACGCGACATGATCATTGGAGGATAAAGTAAAGATTGTCGTTTGATATTTAAACGATTTAAAAAATTAGGTTATTGTTTTATGTTCTATAGGAATACCATAATGGATGTGAGAGAAATATAAATGATATGACCTATATTAGACCATGACAATTGAAGGGGAAAGTTAAGATTGTCGTTTGAAGTTTAAACGTTTTAAAACATAAGGTTATTGTTTTATGTTCTATAGGAGCAACGTAAAAAGTAAAATCACAAAAGTACTGAACTCCGAGGAAAATTCAAAAAGGAAAGTCCCTAATCAAACGTAATAGATGCAAGAGAAATATAAATAATATAACCTAAATTAGATTATTGTATTATGTTCTAGGTGAATACCATGATCATTGTAATGGATGCGAGTTAAATATAAATAATATGACATATATTAGACAACGAGCATTGCAGGGGGAGGTTAAAATTGTCGTTTACTGTATAAACGTCTTAAAAATTAGATTACTGTTTTATGTTCTATAGGAACACCAAAATTGATGCCAAAAAATATATATTAAACATTATGACCTATATTAGACTATGATCATTGGAGCGGAAAGTTAGGATTCTTGTTTGATGTTCAAACGTCTTAAAAAAAGGTTGTTGTTTTATGTTCTATAGGAACACCATAATGGATGCAAGAGAAATATCAATAATATTATTAGACCATGATTATTGGAGGGGAAAGTTAAGATTGTTGTTCGATGTTTAAACCTCTTAGACAATAGATGATTGTTTTATGTTCTATAAAAATACTATATTAGATACAAGAGACTTATAGGTAATACGACCTATATTAGACCATAAGCATTGGAGGGGAAAGTTATGACAACAGGTGAAGAAGGTATGACCAAAATACCGAACTCCATCGACTATATGAACCAAAGTAACGGATGAAAAACAACGGTCATATTCCTGCCTTGGTACAGACATTTTCCGAAGAAAATGGTGGATTAAACCTGGTTTTTTAAGCTATGAATGTGTTATTTCTATGGACAATAATTTATAACACGGTATCTCCAGGTTTTCTTAAATTTAGATTGGGGTACATGACATATTTTGTGGTCTCTTCATAGATTTACTATTATGCCCTCTTTTTCGAGTCTGCAACCAAAATCGCAAAAAATAAACGCGACAAAGCCATCATACATTCCGTCTTCGAAGTCTACATTTAGTTTCAGGCTTAGAAATAATTGATGAATAAAATTTTTATTAATTTAATATTTATCAAATAAAATTACTCGACATTCAACATATACCACAAATAAAATTATCTTTAATTTATAACAAACGTTATAGTACTAGAAGATACAGAAAGTATGATATAAGGTATTTTTTATTTAAAAAATGCATGATTAGGGAGGCGAGTCATTATGTATAAATGAAATAAAAGATGAAGCCCTATATATTTTTTTGGGGGGGAAATAAAGTGCTATGTTAAAACAAGTAAAATGAAGCACTACAACAAAACCTGATTAAAATGCACAGCTGCTTTGGTTATTGTAACATGCCAGCTTGGATGCAGAATACAGCTCAGATTCTGTTAATTATAAAGCTTGGTTACTGTAAAGTTACATTTTTTATGTAAAAACTCATTGCTTGTTTTATAAACAAAATAATGGCAAAAAGAGTTAGTTAAACAATTTAACAATAAAGCAGGTGAAAATAAGGTAATTTTAAAATGACACTACGTCTATGGTCGAGCCTATAAGTAATACATTTGTTATGAATTTAACATGAAACTTCAACGGAAGCTTTTCTCATAATAAAAGACAGCATCCTGATCAAAATGTTTGAAACTATTTCTATTAATTTGTCCGTAATATACTTCTAAATGAATGATACTCAAAAATAGTTTGGGTTAAAGTTTTTTTTAGATATCAATAACAATGTCGAACAGTCAAAGAATATTTTGAAACTTTGTGACAGAAATTTGTAAATGATGAAGAAAAAAAAAAAACTAT